AAAAAAAAAGAAAAAAAGACGGTTATATTGATAACGATAAGGGTCTGCAGTGTTCAGTTTATTTATAAAAGATTGATCACTGATACATCTTATCTTATCGTTATCTATTTAGCAACGTGATTTCACGAGTTTAGAATTTAGCACGTCGGTAATACAATCTCCTAAGAGGGAAACTAAGCATGCGAAGTAACTCAAATATGGAAATAAGTGTAAAGGTGCATAGTTTATAGTAAAATTTAGAAGGAATGTTTTTCTTAGAGCCCCAAAGGTGGTTTCATAAACAAAATTTTTTAAATTTTATTAATATTTTGCTTTGTACAAAAAAATAAATCGTATATAATTTGCAGATTGTATTTAATTTTATATTTTATTGGTTACTATTGATTTTGTATAATTATATAAAATATAAAATAAAATCTTACAGTAAGATAAAATATTATATACTGTATATGTAATTTTGTATTTTGATTAATTAATATAGTTTTGGTATTAAAAAAACAAATTAATAAAAAAAAATTGCTTTTAAATTATAAATTTTATATAATAAATTATAAGAAAATATAGGCTTTAAAAAATTATATTACAAAATTTTATAATTATTTTGATATAACTCTATAAACTAGCCTAACAAAATTCTTTAATAAAGTTAGTATAACAAGTTATATCTGAATATTATAAAGATAATCAAATAATATCAAGTTATAATATTAAGTAAATATTTGTATAATTAATATACAACATTCTTAATAAAGCTATAACAGAATTGCTAAAACAAATTATAAAATTTATCAAAATAATATCAACTCTTTCTGATAATTACTTGAATCAACTGTTTATTAAATGCAAATTTAAAATTCAAGACTATTTTGAGTTTTTTTTGATACAAGTTGTTGTCAACAAAATCTATAAATATGATATATCAAGATATGAATGTTTTGAATGATTTGCAGTAAGATCAAGCTTTCTTGCTTTTTTGAGTAAACTTTCTACTATGTTTGGAATCCAAACCAGAGGTAAAAAACAAACTCAAGTATGTTGAAACTTGAAACTTGAATAACTTATTTTAAATACTTGGATTGATAATAAATTGGTTGTAAATAAATATATATAGACTTGAATAACTTATTTTGAATACTTGGATTAATAAATATCTATAAACTTGAATAACTTATTTTGAATACTTGAATTAATAAATGTCTTTCATATTCACATACAGTACTAATCATATTGAATAAAAAAAATACTTGGATTAATAAATGTTCTTTACACATATACACTAAATTTATTATAAATAAAATATGTAATTAAGTATTAAATATTCATGAGAGTTTTTTTATATTTTTAGATAAATAAGTAATTTGGACCATCTGAGTAGTAATAGATTAATAGGTCTTAAATAGATTACCCAGGTGATTCTCATACAAGTACAATCTTTACCTTCAAGCAACTAAAGAACTTAAAGTTTTGCATGATAATTCTTTAAATTCATATTTTATCGGTTCTCTAATAGCAAAGCAACTAAAAGTTTAAATAAGATTGCTGTAACTAAAACTCAAAACAAATGTGTAAAATATAAAGACATTGTGTGAAAAATTATAATTCATTCTCTATAGAATAAAAAAATATAATATAAATTATAATCAGAACTTTTATGCTATACTAAGTAATATGTAGATACATATCAAGTTATTCCCTTGAAATTGAATCCAAAAATCATAAATAAAGTTAGTCTTTACTATTTAGATCAGATCCTATACAGATTCAAGTCCCAAAGTCAGGATTAATTTGACCCTCTGTGATATGTTTGAGTAAGATATTTCTGACACCGTTTATATCTCTATCTATTTCTAAACTACAAGAATCACATCTAAAAATTTTGGATCCACCAAGTTTTTTATTGATCAATCCGCAGTTACCACATATTTTAGATGTATATTCTTCAGTACATTTGATAACTTTACAACTTACAAATTCTCTAGCTTTGTGGTGTAAAAATATCCTAAATCTATAATGTAACCATGTCAGCATCATCCTTGCAGTCTTCGACCTGATCTTTCTCTTGTTTTTAAGAACCATGTTCAAGGTTTCAAATATTGGTATTAATATGATCTCATAATTCTCACATAACCAACGAGCAAGTTGATGATGACATTCGTTAATCAAGTTCCTAATTCTAACAATGATTCTATATATCTTTATCTTCAATTTGTATCTTTTACGTTTATTTTTTCGTCTAATCACCAGATCTTTGTCTTTTTGTAATTTATCATATTTCTTTGATAATCTAAATATCTTGTTGAGATCACCGTTACCCTACTCTACAACTCGACCATTAGGATCATAACCAGTTATAAAGGTACGTACACCTGGATCAAATGATATCACTTTTCCTTTAACACCATCTTGATTATCACTGACATCTAAAAAAATAGATATATACATGTAAAAATGTTCTAATCTGTTCATAGTTACATTCACGGTATGATTTATTTTTGGTAGTCTTTCTGACATGATCACGGTCTTAAAGAATGCATATTTTTTTCTATTCTTGTTTCAATCTCTAG